ATTACATGTGTTTTTTTCTTAATATAGGTGCTAAAAAAAAAAAAAAAAAAACCTGCGACGTTGGATGCTGGACGTTCATACGCAGATGTTTTTTGTCATACACCCTCCCACTCCTCATCTCTGCCATCCTGGTATCATAAAATAACAGCAAAATTGCCAGAAAAATACTTTAAACTGAAGCTAGTTAATAAGAAATAATAAAGTGCAACAGAACGGCTCAGTGTCACATCCCCACCGAGTCTCTCTTAGTGCTGTGTAACTGGTGGATGTCGTCTTCCAGGCAGGATCACAGACAACATCGGTTAAAAACTCGCATCTTGATAACGAGCTCTACAAAAGAGTTGAAAAACTTTTCTTGAGGATGCAGCTACCGCAACTATATATTCAGTTTAGTGTCATAGAGGAGAAACGAAACCAGAAAATATTCACAATTCAGAAGCTGCAATCAGAAAAATGAGCCTTTATTTTCTTAATGATTAAGACGGATTACCGTAACAGTTAACAACTACGCCATGAATCAATTTCATTTTTGCAAAAGTGGCAACATTCTGCTGCCACCATTAACTCTAATGCTCTAGGCTACTTCAAAATGTGCATAAATATATGTGGTAAAGACAAAACTGATCACTGTTCAGTTTGATCAAATATCGAAACTCCAAGGTAACAAATGTCTTATTTTGTCCACAACTCAAATCAAATAATTGTTGCAGGCACAAAACTTTTTGGCACAATTGGAGAAGTTTTTTTTTTTATTCCAATTTTTCTTTCCATCAACTTTTACTTCGGTGAGACTTGCGCATAAAAATAAATATTGTAAAGTTGAACATGTCTGTCTTTTTGTCTAAAGCAACAGTAAAAAGGGCGTTTAAAGCTATTTTAGACTTTAGAGTCTAACAACTATGTGACTAATCGATTAATCGTTGCAGTTCTACAAGCAAGGTTTTGAAAATGTTGCCGCTTCCATTTACCTTAAAGCTGTAGGCTACTTAAAAATGTGTCAAACTTGTTCATGATTAATTGATTAGCTGTTTAGTTTAATAAAATATCGATCATTTTTCGCTCAAGTCCAAGCTGACAAATGTCTTAATTTGTCCACAAGTTAAATAACTGTTGCAAATACAAAACTTTTTTGCACATAGGAAACATTTTTTCTGAATTTTGCAGTTTCCATCAACTTTTATTTCTGTGAAAACTTTAAAATGGGCATAAAAATATACATTAAAGCTAAAAATGTCTGTCTTTTTGTCTAAAGTGAGAGTAAGAAGGGCGTCTCAAGCTGTTCAGACTTTAGAGTCTAACAAATATTAGATTAATCGATTAATCGTTGCAGTTCTACAACTGAGTATAAAAACATTTTTGCAAAACTGTTGGTTTTTTTACATTTTGATTTTGCTGCTTCCATTACCTATAATACTGTAGGCTACTTAAAAATGCGCATAAAAACGTGTGGTAAAATCCAAATGGTTCACAATTAATTGATTAGTTGTTCAGTTTAATAAAATATCGATCATTTTTCGCTCAAGTCCAAGATGAAAAATGTCTTAATTTGTCCACAACACAGCAAAGATGTTCAGGTTACTGTTGTGGAGGAGGAAAAAAACAGAAAATATTCACATTGAAGAAGATGGGATTGCATTTTCTAGAAATTACTTACACCGATTATCCAAATAGTTGCAGATTAATCGATTAATCGCCGCTGCTTTAGTCCCAGGTGTGTAAATCTGCTGGTTTCTTAGCTGTTATGACAGGAAACTGAATAGCTACACTATTTGAAGACAAAATAAACTTCTTTTTTTATTATTATTTTCAGACATTTTATAAACCACCAGATTCACCGTTTAATTAAGAAAATAAATTTTAAAATATTCAATTTACTGGAAAATGCTCATGTTTAAGAAGCTGGAATCAGAGAATTTAAACTTTAGAAACAACAACAAAAAAACGAATTCATGGAGTCATCATTGCATCTCTACAAGCTCTCGTTACTGTTGTGACAAAAACAAGATACCACCTGGAGTGACGTTCCTTAAGATGACGAAGATAAGAGCTTAAAAGTTCGATCATCGCTCTGTAAATAGCCCGATAAATGGAGACAATGATGTTCACGTACGTGTTGCAGCAGCGCAAACTGCAGCAACGTGTGCATAACGTTAGCAGGAACGCTGTGCAGTGGGTTTGTGTGGCAGAGGGACAAGCTGTCTTATCTGCAGTGACTGCCAACGGTTTGATTATAGCCAGGCAGAGGCTTTGAATAGAAAAGCATTGACCAGAAACAGAAGCAAAAGTAAGAGCTAATCCCCACGGATTATTCCGGCTTACTGCCATTCTTACCCACTCGCAGCACCTTAACCACACCAGTGAGCGGGATGACGAGGGTTACTGGGGTAAAGATGGATGAGAGCGAAGGGACGGCCGGGAACACGCTGAAATGCCGTCGGCTAATCAGAGTTAACACCGTCGAATGCTAATGGGCTACAAAACTCAATTTATTGTCACAGAGGAGGAAAGGAACCAGAAAATGATCACGTTTTGGAAGCTGCAATCATAGATATTGGATGTTTTTACTTTTTTAAAAATTGCTTAATCGGCTGTCAAAGTAGTTGGCAAACAATTTGATCACGATCAATCGATTAATCGATTAATCATTGCCGTTCTACAAGTCAGATTATGAGAAATAGGGAACGTTCTTTTTAAAATTTGCAGTTTTCATTAACTTTTTCGAATACAAGACCTTAAACTGTGCACAAAAATATAAAGTAAAGCTAAAATTCTGCATGTTTTTACATAAAATAAGAGTAAAGATGGAGTCTAAACCTCTCCCAGGACAAGTATTACCTGGAGTAAAAGTATTTTGTTAATTTAATCCTGTGCAAATGCCATGTCTGTAAAATTCTACCAAGAAGCTAGAAAGCTAGAAATAGATTTGATTATCAGAATAGTTGCCGATTAATTGTTGCAGGTCTCAGAGTGAGCCTACAATTTGGGAAAGTTTTCCAATGTTTTTTTTTTACCTGTACTCGTGATGCTTCAAGATATAGATATATATATATATATGTGTGTGTGTGTGTGTAAAGCTAAATTTCTCCATCTTTTCACCTAAAATAAAAGCACAAAGGAGGTTTAAAGCCCTATTCACAGAGGATTAGCATTACTTGTGGGCCTGCAGCAATTTGCAATAATTGCGGTGATCGTCTGTGATGTTGTCTGTAATTTTTAAAGTAAAAATCAGAAAATATTCACTTTTAAGAAGCTGGAATCAGAGGATTAAGACTTTTTCTTGTTTAAGCAATCATCAAACTGATTAATTGATCATCAAAAGAGTTGTTCAATTCATTTAATTGTTTACAACTAAGAAGCTAATCACATAACAGCTCCAGTAGACTCATCAACTCATCTTTCCCGCTCAAGCTTACTTTAAGAATATTACTGTGTCCAACCAGGCGGCAACTATCCGATTACCCAACTGACAAAACAGCTAACGACCAAGCAGGTAATTGACTAATCGTTGCAACTCTACAAGGAAGCATGAGACCCTTTTCCAAAATGCAAATAAAAACACATTTGGCTACGAATGAGCTGATTATTAAAACAGTTGCTGATTCATTCAACAGTGGAGTCGATTAATCAGTTAAATGTTTTCAGCTCTGCTTTAATTGACAATATTGTGTCAAATAAGAACACAACCAATAACTATTTGTCTCGTGGATTTCTCTCTATTTATTGATTATAGTTTATGAAGTGTCTGTTGTTGTTTGCGAAAGTCTAGAATGAAAAACGTCCTGTTTTGTCCACAACAGCAAAATAGTTGACAACTAAACGATTAATTGATTAATCAGTTCGAGGCGCTAGCGTAAAAAAAATTCTTACGGATGCAGCTAAAGATTGTTTTCATTGGAGATTGTTTTCTCAAATAGTCGATGAAATGTTTGGTGTATATAAAAACGGCATAACTGATCACCAAAACAGCTGACAACTGCGCGATTAATCGATTAATTGCTGCAGTTCTACAAGCAAGCAAATTAACTTTTAGTATTGCAAAAGTGGGGATGTTTTTGTTGTATGTTTACTTCAAAATACAAATAAAAATACAAGATAGAAACACAGCTACCAATTAACAGAGTTAATTGAGCATTTAATAGTCGATTAATCGTTGGAGCTCTGATTCGATCGTTGATTAATCAACTCATCTTTTTTAGCTCTAAATTAAAGAAACTAGAAAATATTCACATTTTAAAAGCTAAACATTTTGAATTTAGACTTTGTTTTCTTAAAAAAATACCAAAACTGATTAATGGATTTGCAACATAGTTAATAAATAAGCAATTATTCATTTAATCACTGCAGCACTATCAGCAAGAGTAACACTTTTTTTTCCAAAATGCAAATAAAAACACATCCTAAAAACGCAACTTTACTGATCATCAAAATAGCTGGCTATCAAATTAACAGCTGACAGTTCATCAATTAATCATTCCGGCTCTAATCTGCTCAACTAATCAACTAAGCTTTTCAGCTCTAACTCAGAGAAACCAGAAATCTTTCACAATTTCGAAGCTGCATTCAGAGAATTTAGACTTTTTCCTTAAAAATGACCACAACTGATTCATCGATTATCAACATAGTTAATAACCAACAAGTGTAAGAGGTATTTACCCCCCCAAAGTGCAAATAAAAATACATCAAAGAAATGCAACTTTGCTAATTATCAAAATAGCTATCAGTTTAACAGTTGACAATTAGTCGATTAATCGTTTCGACTCTGGTCAGCTGGTGCTGAAAGGTGAACATAATGAGATCAAGAGTGCGTCAGGAAGGGGGGTGGGCGCCCTGTGGCTTGCTGGGAAATTACAGAGTAACAGAGGGAGGGACAGGAAGACCGAAAATAACACAATTTAAATGTAAAAACTAATAAACAAGGTGCATGATTTCCTGCAGAAGCGTCCCAGGTGTGCAGCAGCAGCAGCAGCAGTGTGTGGATGCGGTGCGTAAATGCGTCTCACCTCTCCTGATGGGGGTGTCCGCGGGGGGCGCGTCGAGCTCCTCATAGTCCATAACTCTCCTGCACACGTTCACACTCACAAACACACACACACACAGACTCCCGTTAATTCAGCCCAACTCCGCCTGCAGCCGTTTCTGAAGCAGCAAGCAGCAGCGACGGCAACACAAACTACCTGTTGGCTGCTTTAACGCCCGGGCCGGCGCAGGCATTTGAAAACGTGCACCGCCATCTCTTCTCCTTACAGCGGCTCCACTAACTTCATCCTCCTCTCCGCCGGGTTATTCAACGCCTCCTCTTGCGCGCTTGTTTTGGAACAAGTCGGTTCCCCCACCGTGGCGGCGGCAGCAGCGCGGAGAGTGCAGCTGGAGCGACCCTCCGTGCGCTCTCCGTGCGCCCTGACCGTCCCGGGGCTGGAGAGAGTTATGTCACCGGCTGTTACGTAACAGCAGCGGATCGGGTTTTGCTTTGAAGTGCTCAGTTGAGAAATATAATCCCGTGTTGCTGCCACAAATTTCCGCCGCACTAATCGAGGAAATAACGCGTGGTGGAGACGTGAGATTCCAGCGGCCTCAGCGCCAAACAGGAACATGAATTAAAAAGAAAAACAGAATTTCCAAAGGTTATTTTAGTGGCTTCATTAAAGGCACCTGTTCGTGCAATATATAGATATATGCAGGGGGGATTATTAAATGCAGAGCTTCATTTTAACTGAGGCAGAAAGACACAAAGAAAACGATGAATAATCGATATGTCTTCTCGGTTTACATCATGGAGGTGAATGTTCCTCTAAGACCGACGCACATGCTGGACAGTCCATGTTAGTGCAGCTTAGAGGTGATAAGAAACTGAAGTTTAAATTCCTAATTTTATTTTTTTCCCTATGTATCACCTACCATACTTTACATTTAGGAGCCAAACACTGAACTGAATCCCTGTATTTACATTTCAGCCCCAAAATTATTCATAAGCATAGTAAATGTTTATTTGACCAACAGGTTCATTTTGGCTGAAAATGACAAAAAACAAGAGACAAACGACACGAGCACTTTGTGTGACAGAAGCGAATGCTGAATTTTAACAATTTTCTCTCAAAAACAATTTCTCCTTGTCCTCAGTAATCAGTCTCTTTATTTCCCTCCACATCAGTCCAACAGCTGTTCTAGTGTCCAACAGTGTTTCTGGGATTTGGTTCCTCCAAGTGTCCATCTGCAGCTCTTGCTTCCTCTCCATCACTCTGCTCTTCAGCTCCTCCACAGGTTCTGGATGGATTCAGGTCTGGACTCTGGCTGGGCCGCTCCAACATCTCCTCATTGTTTCCTCTTCACCGTTTCTTCACCACTTTGGCTGCATGTTTCACATCATTGTCTTGTTGAAGCTCCAAAGCTGCCCAAGGAGCAGTGTTCCTGCAGACCTCCTGATGTTCTCCTCTGTTCTCATGAAGCCATTTCCTCTGACCAGGCTGTCTGGTCCGTCGGCTCAACAACAGCCCCAAAGCATCACGTTCCACCACCATGTTGGACCGTGGGGATGCTGCTCTTGGCCTTGAATGCTTCTCCTTTCTCTGTGTCCAAACATCTCCATGTTCATGAAGTGATGAGCAGCAGCTTTCTTCTTTGTCCTGGAGAAGTGGATCCTCCTTGTCTCCATGGAGACCAGCCTTGTTGTTGGTCTGCTGGAGTGTCTGATTGACATGTTGCTACCAGAACTGCTCACATTCATCAGGATGCTCTTGGTGCTGGTCCTTGGGTTCTTCTTGGCCTCCACCATTCTTCCAGTGCAGGGCTCACGTCTGTCCTCCTGCAGCCCTTTGACATGTTCCACAGTGAGGAACTCCTTGGACTTTATCATGAAGCTTCAAACTGTGAACACTAGAGCTTGAAAACACTTGATATGACTTCATAGCCTTTAAACGTCTCATGAGCAGCAGCAATGTGCAACTCTGTAACGTTGGCATATTCATAGATTCTGGATTGTCAATGAAAGAGGCGTCATCGATGTTGTAGAAACATATAACCAGGTAATTGAACATTGACATCAGACACAAAGCATCACTGACTGATTCAATAATATGCTGTGCCACATAATCATTATTTTTTTTGAGTGTTTGTGGCATTGCTGCTTCAGGATCTAATACTTGTTCCGGCACAACAATGTGGCAGGTCGTCAGTAAAATAATGCTATTATGCTGCAGGATCAGCATGTTTCTTGGGTGAAACCATAGGTTGGGAGCAGTCAGTTAATCATTTAATCTAAAATACTTGAAACAATATGCCCATTGCAAGTTGGCAGACTCTCTAAACGGCTCATTTTGTCTGAACAACTGTCGAAACACCAGTAAATCCTCACAAAACTGCCGCTGTGGGCAGAAACGTTCAGCATCTCATCGATTATTATTATTCATTTTGTGTTTCTGTTGGTTTCACCATGATCAGTCCAAAAGGTTGATAAGTGGAAGTGAGACTTACAGGCTGATATTTAAAGTGAAAATAAGTTCTAGAAATACTTAAAGCTTTTGTGAAGAAGTAAATGCTTTGTGGTATGCTGCTATTAGCATTTAATTTATTGTTTTTAAAACACTACAGCACTAAACTAAGTCATATGAAACATACTAAAATAGTCGCTTTATGTTAATGTGTAGATATATTAATATATTAGATATATTAACCACCTGAACTCTGAAACCCGCTGACAGGTTTGAAAGAAACGCTGTTTTTTAAATAGATTTTTTGGGCTTTTCTGCCTTTATTTTAGTAGAGAGAGACAGGAAAGAGGGGAGAAGAATGGGCAGAGACCTGCAGCAAAGGGTCGTGAGCGGGAATCGAACCCACGACCGCTGCATCTGGGAACTATAGCCCCTGTTCATGGGTCACCTGCTCAACTAGGTGAGCTACAGGGTGCCCAAAAGAAACATTTTCAAAGAAATTATACCAATTATCAGAGTCAGAAAACTGTAAAAACAGAAAGAATTGTCAGACGTTCAGCTTTCTATCCTTGAACTAATAATCTGAGATGTTTCTGTTGGGAAACTTGCAAGCGAATGTAATTAAAATCACTTTATTTTACGTGTCACATTTAAAAATTACTAAAAAATAATCCACTTGTATTAACAAGATTCTGTCAAAAATAAATAATTCTTTGCTCTGTGGTGTGACTCCAAAGCCACGACCGACTCAGCTGCGACCAACAGTCATGTGACAACAAATCAGAGAGTTTTCGGCTGAGCTGCAGGCAGTGTTCACACAGAGCAGACAGGAGGCAACTATGGAAACACACGAGAAACGCAAGTTCACAGTTTACAGAAAACGATTTATGTCTGTCCAAATTTTAAATGAGACATGTAGGATGAAGCGATTTTAATGGAATATCAGGATTTTAAGCGTCGATAACTGTTGATAACTGTTGGAAAATTAAAAATATGACGATCGTTTCCGTTTTTATAGTGTGTGGCTCTGGTAAATATTTTGTGACGGCAACGTGCCTTTCAAATCTGCTTTGGGGTTTGGACAGTTAATGAAGACGCTTGTATGGATCCTGCTTCAGGTTTTCAATAAACTCAGACTAAACAGCTGGAAGCAACAAACTAAACTTCAGCTCCTGTTCGTCGAAACCTCGATTAAATACATTATTGGTGAATCTCGTGAATTCCTGTTGCAGACTGTGTCTTCGTCGCAGTAAGGTTTTTATGGACCAGGGTGTTGCAGAGAAGGTGCACTCGATTTGCTTACCCATTTGTCCAGGAACGATATTAATATTTTGTGCACACATTATACCTACTTCATGGTCACAAATTAGCATTTTGTGTTATATTTATTTCGTGGTCACAATATAGCTGTAACGTGGGAACGAAGTAGTATTTTGTGCGCACCTTATAGCTATATTGTGGCCACGATTTAATTTTATTTTGAGCACGTCATGTCTGGGGCTCCGTAAGTTTGTAATAGATGTGATATTGTAAAGCAAAGTGAACGATACCGATGATAAATAAACAACCTCACCTCAGGAAAGCCTTTTTATAGACATTTTCTTTTTAAATCTTGCTACAGATTGCAATACACACAATCAGTAGTAGTAGTAGGCTCTTCTGTGTTAAAGGTGAATATCTAAGACGAATTCAGCCTTTTCATGACAACACGACAGCATTGTGAAAGGGCGCCCCTCAGAAAACCCCCCGAACCAGTGGACAGAGGCTTGCTGCAGGTGGTTTTAACTGAAAGTGGAAAACGTCTGCCTCCCACCCCCACCAGCTTCCTCAAACCCAACTTGACCACATGACTCTTCGGGGGGAAAAGAGAGAAAAAGAAAAAAAAAAAAAGCTGCTGGTGTTTCATTGGTCCTGAACACACACTCGAACGCAGACACGCACACGCGTTTTTAAAGCTAATGCAGCGTTTCCACCTGCGACTTTACTGAGGTTAAAGATGTGAGGGGCCCTCGGAGGACCGGCGGCTCGGCACAGTGATGAGCCCATACACTCACAAACCACACATCAGACCAAACTGTGTGAGAACGCCAGTCTAACGCGGCTTCGAGCGCACATTTGGTCACATACTTAAACCAATAATTGACTGCGGACCAAAAACAAACAAATAAAAAAACTGCTTATGAGCAAAACCCGCTGTCACATTTACTTCCTTTACATGCTATTGAACACCACAGAGCTGCACGTCCAACACACGAGTGGATTTCATCAGAAAACGGCATGAGACGTTAAGAAAACCCAGTAGAATTATTTGTCAGGTTTGATCAACATCAGACGTCACTGTAGCTCAGGTTCAACTCAGGTGAAACTAAGAGCAGGGATGGTGTAAATTGTGACAAAACGTGGCTAGAAATGGACAGGTTTTGATTTATAATACATTTTTATTAGACATTCTGGTTGGAAATGACATAAACAAGTGACAAAACACAGTGAGACATCGTGTTAGAGACGTTAATGATGGAATTTTAACTACTTCTCTGTGTTTTTTTATCCATTTGAAAAGGCCAAAAATGATGCATATCACCCAGAAATTGTTGCAGATCTGGAGCAGAAAACGCAGCAACATTTACCACCAGTGTACATAGGTTCATTTTTAGATATTTCATCTCATTTGTACTTTATTTTGATCCTTTTTCTTTGTATGGCACTATTTCGGTTCCTCTGTATGTCTTGTATAGAGAGAGAAATTGACAATAAAACCTTCTATTGTTTTCTATTTAAGAAGTTCATGCTGATTTCTACCAATTTCTACAGATGAGCTATAATCCATCACTGAGATAAAAGCTGCACATTGTGGCTGCTCACAAGATGCTTAGACACTATAAAGTGGTAAAAATGTAAGAAACAACACAGAAAGGGTTAAAAATCCTGTGTTTTTACTGTATCAGCTTTAAATCACGTCTTAAAACTTGCTTTTAAGTGAAGTTTACTATTAGCTTTATTAGTTTTAGTGTTCTGCTCTGTATTTACGTACTTCTTGCCTGTTTATTTTATGTTCTCTCTTGCTTTATTTTAACTTGAGCTGCCTAGTTCTTTGGTGTGACGTCGTATTTAATTCGTTAACTTCTTAATCTGTCATTTTTAACTTTTAACCTTCAATCTTAGAGGTTCCTTTGTTTGATGTGTTTTAACTGTCAAAGCATCTTGTTCTGCTGTTCTTAAAGGTGCTGTATAAATAAAGTTAATATTATAATTATATTTCCAGACAACTGTGGCATGTGTATGAATAACCTGGGGCTTAATGAAATTACATCCTCTTTAACAGACCTTGACCTCACACATTTCTAACACAGTGCAGACCCTATTAGTGTCGATACGACTGTGGACTGGAGACGTTGTTTTCCACCTACAGTCAGTACATTGTGTGCCTAGTCTAAAACAGTGCTCTACATATTTTCACGTGTCGATCATAAATCTATTTTTTGGGCGTCGTGGTCGACAGTAGCTGCCAGAGCGGCTCAGAACTCTATAATGTGGACAGAGTTACTTATTCTGGAGCACTGCGGTGCGCCTCGGTCGAGTCTCAACGCAGAAAATGACGACAAACCGGCCGAAAAACAAGACGACAATCGCCGCCATGACGATTCTGGCTTCCATCAGAAGTCACGATATTCTCATGGCGTGTAAATCAGATTCAGGACAACAACACACACACACACGGAAATCAAAACATGGAAGATCTGTTGTTTCTTTGATTCTTTTCACCATCAATTAGCTGTTTAGTCAATAAAATGTCAGAAAGTGTTTTCCAGAGATGACAAATGTTTTGTTTTGTCCAAACATATTCAGTTTGAAGACTCAGAGAAAGCAAGAAACCAGAAAATATTCACATTTAAGAAGCTGCAATCAGAGAATTAAGACTTTTTATGGTTTAAAGTCAATGCGCAAAAGAAAAAACGAAAATCCAAAATTACAGGTATAATCTTGCTTTAATTGAAGAAACAAACCTACAATATGACTAAAATAGTATTTTTATGTTCCCTTGCAAACCTTTTTTATTTGTTGACAAACCAACAAACTTTCAGCAAATATCGGAGGAAACAAAATATTTAAGAACAGTACATTTTTTAAGATAATTTCACTTCAAGGCCCCAGAAAAAAAAAAACATGAAACCATCCATACTGTCAAAGTTATAACAATTAATAAATAATCCTTTAAACATTTGACCCAATAAATAAGGTTTCGATATGCGACTGTTTGTTAGTAACAGAGAGACGAGGTAGTCGAGTAAACGGTACTTGACGATGCTGTTAGTAAGAACATGAGGTCCCTGGTGTGTTATTTCGAGGAGTGTTGCTCTGAAATCATGTGGAACTTGTGAACACTCCCTGCAGAACGCTCACACACTCAAACACACACATACACACTTCTTGGCGTTTGATTCGGCGGCAGGTCGTTCGTGTTACCGTCCCAGCAGCACCTGGCTGACGTTGAAGGACACGAACAGAGCTGCAGGAGAGAAAGAAAAACACGATGGTGAAGAAGAAGCTGGAGGTCAAAGAGCAGAGACGTGACCGACGGGAAGCTTCGACGCCTTTGAGAGTCACCTGTTGTTTCTGTGTGCAGCTTGGAGCCGTCGTCTGAGGTCACTCTGCAGGAAATGAACGTTTTTCTGCCCTCCTTCCTGTCCAGAGTGGACTCGATGAGCACGGTGCCTCCCAGAGGGATCGGGCTGAGGACGAGACAACCAGGGGTTTTTGGGCAAAACGTCCATGAATGAGTGAACGCACTTGCACCGCTTGTCACACAAACCCTGTCCTAAATAAAAGGCAGCGCGCCAGAGCTACACAACATGAGCCAGGTATTGAATTGTGGTTCTTCTGACAAACATTACAATTCGTTTTGCGATCTAATTATTTAAAGTCCTGCTTCTGTTCAGTAGTTGCTGTGGACTGGATTTAAAACACATGAAGGAGGATTTTCGTGTGAGGTACCATGAAATAAAGTGACTGTCACACAGTCAAGACAGCGTGAATTGGCAAAACCACTGACAGTAAATCCTGGATGAGACATGATGCGTAATGTGTCTCCATGATTGCAGCATTTGTGATTTTGAATAATTGCTCAGCCCCACAGGGTACTTAAAAAAATTATATATATAAAATAACAAAAAAATAAGTGCTAAAAGACAAATTAAAATGTTAAAAATTTTAAATAAATAAAATCAATTAAAACAAAATTTTAAAACAAAAAAACTCAACCATGACCAACAACAATAATAACATTGAATATAATAATCAGAAATTAATGAAAGTGATAAAAAAACAAAACAAAATGAATGAAAAATAGTAAATAAATGAAATCTAATGACATGAATACATGAAATCGATTGAAAAAAAAAAGACAATACAAATGATTTAAATAAATTAAAATAAAAAAGTAAAACAACAATATAATTTTATAAATACTAGGGATGATAATAAGATTAATTATCCTCATTATTATCATCATAAATTGAT